TTAAAAGATTGTAGAATTCATTGATTCCAGAAATAATGCTAAATAGATACTTGCCATAGTTTTAGCATGCGGACGTCCAAAAGAAGTGGTTAAGACTTAACCCTTCTGTTTCCAACTATGTGTGACTCAGRAAGATTTTGAAACCTAGAGCTGCTGACTTTCAAATGTTTGTAATATGYTTTTGCTATGAATGCAGTGGGTTTTATACTGGAATTGCAGAATCATTAGCGTAAATTACTATCAGAAATTTTTAAATCATAGAACAGCTGTAGCAGTTTCAGGAAAGACACCTCTTTCTGTAGTCAGTTGTGTAATATGCCTCATTTAGTCTGGGAAATTGACCGTGGCAGGTACAGGAGAATACTTTTTTTCATTAACTATCATTGAGTGCTATGCTTTGTAGAGGCCCCTTACTGGACTGCTYATGCAGCTATAAATGTTGCCTGTTTCTGAAGAAATGCCCAGAATCAAACTAATCTTTCTAAGCAAATGGTTTCTAGTCCCCATTTAGTAATTCAAGGAAAGAATAAACTTAAGCTAGCTGTAACTCTTCTTTGCTCTTACCTTACCTGTCACCAATTAATAATCCCCAAAAAAATGCAAAAAGGCTGCCTTAAAGTAGGAGAGATGGAAAGTTTTATGGTGTCAAACAAAACAGGCTTAAGATGCTAGGAGATATTATTAATATGTTTGAAATGAGTGCAGGAATAGAGGAGAGTATTGCAGCCTTGGTTTGGTAGCTGTCCTTGTTTTAAACCATTCCACTTACCTCATTTACCATAGGTCTGAAAGAAGGAACATTCATGATRTAATTGGTACAGTCCTTCTTACACTCAGATAGAAGGCAGGTGTGCTTTCTGTGAGGTAGCTTTGTGCTGGAAGAAGTGTTTATCAGGGAAGAATTAGACAGCATGGTTTCTTATTCTCCTGCCTGTTCGCTTTCACTGTGTGGCCTCACAGGGAACTGGTGCATGCTTCTCTCTGAGGTTAAGCAGCTGTCTTACCCCAGGGAGTTGTGCTGTGGAAACAGAAATGGTAGTGATGGCACAAGGGCAGTGTGAGCTCATGTCCCTGCTTAAAGAAGACACTTGTCAAGTGTCTATGAACTGTGGACAAGGAAGGATGTCAATGTAGCCTTTAAGCAGGATTTGGTTGCTCTATTGACTCTTTCTCTGCTGGATTTAAATAGTGAATAACTAAGAAGTAGCCAGCAGAAGACTCATTTACACAGAGAAGTTAGGGGCATGGTGGGACTTCAAGCTTCTGTAGAAAGATTCAGTTAAGAATTTTACAGGATGTTATCTAGGGCATGCTACCCTTTTTTGTGGACTTTTCAGCACTCAAGGCCCTGCAAACCCCTTTACCAGAGCAGCCTGTAGCCAATCTTTGTCGCCACATTAAATGTTTCATGTTACAAAGTATTTGGAAAAGGCTTCTTTAACCTCTGTGTGGGAAAGAAAAACATTGAACAGTCTTTACAAACAAGAATTTTGTAATTTCTTTGTGGATTCTGTATGAGCAGAGTTGTGAAAACACTGAAGAAGTAAATGTCATCTTTTCCATTAATCCAGAATATCCCAAACATACGCATTTTTTACTTCAGCTTGCACGAATGCCATGGTGTCAGTTTATCTTTGCATTCTTCTAGAACATGTTTGCATTGGTTTGTTTTTGCTTTCAGTCAGTGACTGAAAAGGCTTATCAGTTATAAGCTGGCCAAATAAAGAGATGATGGAAAGCATCTTTTTAGTATTCTCATTCTTGAAAAATACCTTGGTCAGCCACCTGCAAAGACAGTGGCATTTCTAGCAGTTTTCTTATACCATATCCTTCCAAGGATGCTATAGTTAACAAATATGCTGTAATTGTATGGGTAAGTATATAACTTGGTATTGATATAAAAAGTTAAAAATTGGAATAGTGCTTCAGTGGATCATTCAAATAATAAAGTATATTATTGTATATAATCTTGTAAGATTCTGAATTCTTCTGTAAGAAACTAAGTGGTGTAGTCAGAGTTGTAGACTTAGCAAGCCTGTTCCAGGACAATTCTTCTACAATTTCTTGATTTAATGTTTGTTTTGTTTTTTAACACAAACATAGTTAAAAGTATGATAATTTAAAAGTACTCCTTATATTCATGAAGATTCATGAAGAAAGTTATACGTTTAAAATTATGAGTATTCCCTGTATTGTAAGAACCCCAAAGCTTTGTTGATCTTTTATTAAACCAAGCAGAACAGTTGAATAGGTGATGAGCATGGGGTTTAAAAGAGTTCCTTTGTGTTTTGGGTGCTGTAGCTGGTTAAAGGTTGTCAATGTAATAGCAAAATCTAGGGATCTGTCTTACGATAGTGATTGAATGAGGTGTCAATTTTAAGTACAGGCAGAAGGTATGGCTGAAGGTTGTAATTTTGGTATGATTTTTCTCCTGTTGAAATTGCTTTAGTCCACCATACTGGAGCAGCAGTTCATTTTGTGCTGTGGTGAGCTGYAGCTTCATTTTTATGGATACAGGCCAGTTGCACAGAGAGTTTTAACACAGGTCACTGCAGCCATCTGAATTGTGTTTCTTTGCATGTGTGATAAAAATGGAAGAGGTTGGAAAATACTTTCTACTGAAAAACTTGGAGGTGTTTTTTCATAGCAGTGTATATAAAATAAAATATGAAATTTTAAGAGTACATGTTGGATGTGGTAATACACCAAGTTTTTTCACAGCCTTCTGGAAATATGCATTTATTTTGTTGAATAAATGCCAAGTTAAAATCCAAATTAAAGCCTCCACAACTTGAGTTACATCAGTAGCGGTTTTTCTTCCTGCCCTCCAGTAAATAAAAGGAAAGGTTGGTGTAATAAAAGACCATCCTTAATACTTTCTACCATATCTGCACATACAGCTTTTGTTTAGTTAGCAGGATATGCATTTTACAATCAAAATAGGCTCTTTAGGTGTCTAAATGCTGGTATTCTCTMTGTATTGCTAATAAGTGAAAATTAATACCAATATTGCATGTTAATTGCTCTCTAGTATCTGTGCTAGTACAGTGCCACATGCATGACATCTAGCAACTATTTAATTGATATTTCTTCAAAATATGGGATTTATATTTTTTAGTTCTCTTAATGTAAAAATGATTTTGCTGTTTGACACAATTAGATGTTTGTTTAAATATACTGCTAAGATACCATTTCATGGTTAAAAATAAGTCTCTTTTGCCAGAGAGGAATGAACACACTCATGTTTTCTTCCATCCCACACTAACACCTGTGCTCCTTCATGAACAGCTAAATTTGGCTGAAAAGATTCTTAAGCACYGTAGCCTAGTCACAGCCTTCTGTTGTGAATGACTTTCCCACACTAGGGAAGCAGGGGGAACACGTGATTAACAAGGATGAAGAGAACCAAACTGCTCCTTTAAGCACAGACCCCATATGTACCAGTGCTCTGAGCAGTATTTTTGCAGCCAGTGCAAGCCAGCATGATAGCTTATCCTTACCCATTTTCTTTGCAGTGGTTCCAGCCACTTGGCAACCCCTCTTTCAGCTGAATATCTAATCTAACTCAGCACAGAGTGCTGGTAGGTTGGGGAATTGATTAATCTCATAGAAAAAACTTTTGGGCAGGGGACTTAGTTCAAGTTCATGATTATGCGCAGGTGAGAATACTGGACCAAGGGCAGTGGGAACCTCTGAAACACTGGATCATCTTACTCTATTTTGCAGAATCACTCCTTTGGTCTAAACTTTTTCATTAAAATGCTTTTATGGAAGYGAGTGGTAAAAGTTTTAGAAAACTTAACTGTCTTTCAGAGGTGTTGTGGTTCCTTGTTTCTTGTTGAAATTTTGAAGCTGTTGCTTGACTGGAACACTACAGCAGTGTTAATGAGTTGATGGATGTAACTGGCAGCTAGATGCGGATTTTTGAATGAAGAACCTGTAGTACTCAAAAGCTTTTTTCTGTTACTTAAAAGCCTCAAATTATTAATATTCTTAAAGCAAATACATTGTTCCTTGTCCTAAGAATTTGGTGCTAAGTCATATGTATTTAGAAAATTGCAGTGAAAATCAGGTTGTTTTTAAAAAGTGCCATAGGTATAGTTAAATATGTCTCAAATAAGTTTCGCTCAAGGTCCCGTGTCCTATTGCAAAAGCAACCTGTGTGGCTGTACAGTTGTTCAGATGTAGAAGTAATGTTGTATTGGAGACTCAGAGCCTGCAGCCAACTCATTTCTTTTCATAAGCATCTTGATCTTTTAAAAAGTGAACTGTAGTGGGCTAGATTTAAATATGAAGTGTAGCACAGCTGAATTTGCTAATTCCTTGAAACATGGGAAAAAGTTTTGTTGTTGGAATTTTTTTTGTAAAAAATAAGTTCTGGCAATAGTGRATGATGTGTATACAAAGGGTGTGTTCTTGGGAAGTGTTAATAAAGGGAATTGTTGGACTTTTGTGTTGAGCTTTCTCTGTAGCAGCTTTAACTAGTAATCTTGAATCTCGTCTTATTTCTTAGTGTGGTCCTGACAAAGTTCTTCTGGTGCCAGTAACAGACCTTCTACCATGAGCAATTCTACTCCAGCTACAGGTATACATTAAAAAAAGACCGCAAGTTCTTCAACTGTTATTTCTTTGTGTTGTATGGATTTTTTTGCTTTGTTTTTTTGTGTATGTGTGTTGAGAAAGACATAATAAGTATTTATGTTTACCTGTAATTTTAGACCAGAGTAAGAAGTTGAAAGTGAGAGAAAGCTGGGTACTGTTTTCGTTAGTGTTACTTTTAGCATGAGGCATACTTGGAGCATTAATGACCAATAGTTGAATAAATTAACTGTCAAATAAATTAACTAAATCATGACAGACAAGTGCTTGTCAGCATTGTTTTCCAAATTTTATTTGATATTGGGGCAAGGAATGGAGCAGATGACCTCTTGACAAATATCTAAGAGTTAGTATATTTTCAATGGGGAAGAGTGAGAAGTCTGAGGAGCTAGCTTGAAGATTTTTCTTTTTGATTTCTTTGACTTTCACCTGTCAGAGTGTTTCTACTTCTGCTGATCAATTCAATGTGATGTCCAAATATTTCTGCTTGGCTTGAAATTGCATTAGCTTATGGCTCATCAATGTGATAGCTGAAATATGTATTGTTAACTACTGGTGCAGTGACTGTTCCTTCACAGAYGTATCCAAGATGTTTCAATAATGTAGAGGTTTTTGGGAGCTTTTGGGATTTATTAAGAGCCATTCTTATTAATCACTATGTAAATCTAAAATAAAATATAATCTCTGTTGAAATTCATATTTTTAGCTAATACAGCTATTCCAGCTGTGGCATTTGGTTTTTGTTATGAATTGTGATAGTAATGGACTTCCCTTTGTACATCAGGAGCTAAATTTCACTTTGTTCATAAGGCTTCTTTTTGTCTGTCTGAAAGCGTTTTTTACTTTTACTCAATTGAGTGTAAAATTCAGAAACGGTGGTCACTTTTTGCATGCTGTGAAGAATGGTTGAATTAATTTTGAAATTCGGATGTTGGAAGATACACATGGTTATCACTCTGCATCAAAATTAGTATCAATCCACAGCTGGAGAAAGAAGCATGGTGCTTATATTTGAGATGATGTTTATATGGTGTTTATATTTCAGATGTGATTATTTGAGATTTGATTGAACTTCAATTTATTGCTAATTTAGTAACTTTGCTAAAGTTTCACAGAAAAGCATTTCAATAATTTGCCACTTAGCTCCATTTTGTCACCTTTGACAATCTGTCAGAACCCAGAAGATACCACTTCTGCACGGATCACTTATATTAAACTAAAGGCAAAATTCATACTAGGCTTTATTTCCTGCTTTCTTTAGTCAATCATGCCTTAATTTAATATATACTAAGTCAARGACATCTTGTCCATTTTGAACCTGAAAATTAACAAAATAAGTTGTTAGACTACTAGTAACATGTAGTGTCATGGCTTGGTACTGATACATGTTTAATATGTTCAAGTTGGTCTTTAAGTTCACATTTTTCAGAATACATACACAGCACATGAAGCCATTTAAAGTTCTTCRATGAAAAAATCAGTTGAGAGAATTGTTAAGTATGGTATGATTGGGGCTTTGATCATCTAATTTGAAATTTTTCAGGCTTCCACTAATAAAAATACCCTTTGTAAACATACTTATGCAGAATGACTTGTGTGAACSAGTTTTCAGCCTTTGACTGTACACAAATGCTACAGCAAAATCTGAAGTTTCTTACAAAGGTCATACAGAAATTTCTTCCCAATCATTTTTGTTTCTCCTTGGAAGGCTAAATGCAGCAGATTAGGTGTTAAGGCTATCTCTCTTGCCTCGGGGAACAATATGCCTCTTCCAGATGTGTTGTTCTGTTTAAAAGTGCTGTCAAGGATACTGGGTAATGTCTTTGAAGTATAATMATTGGTCACTTACTAATCCACATTGGTTTTTTACAGAATCTATATAGGCATATGTTCAAAAAAACTCCACTTCTGGCGATGTGTCTGAGTGTAAGACTTGAGAGTTTGTAGGGATTTAATACTGTATATATTTTTCAAACACTTAAAATAATTTACAGCATACTTTCTGTATATTCTGTAAGAATATAAAAACAAAATCCAAACTTTGAGTTACCAAATCAGTCACAGAAACATTAATTTTCCTTTTATCACCAWTTTATCTATTACCTCCCAACTATGACTTCTCCCTCTTCTGTGCAACTAACATGTTGTAAATATCTTATATTGCATTTGAGGAAAGTTACTGGCCTCCACTGGAAAAAAAACCCCAACAAATCAAAACCAAATCACTGGAAAATAAACAAACAAGCCCAAAGCAAAGCCAAACATGCCACACCCTCCCTTTGCTGTCAAGATTTGGAATAGCTGATGAGTTCTTCTTACACTGTCCCTTTGTTTTATATGAAATGTCCTTTCTTAAGATTCAGTGAGCTATCCCTATGTCAATGTCAGTGCTGAGGTAGTAGTTTCTTTCCTTTTGGTTTTGATATGTACTCTGTGGTTTGTCTTGTTTGCTTGTCTGTCTCCCTCCCTGAAATGTTTTAGATAATGAGAAGAAAAAAATTAGAGGAAACAGATCGCCATGTTCCCCTTCRCGTGTTCTTCATATTCGTCAAATTCCAAATGGTGTTACTGGATCAGAAATCATTTCGTTAGGTCTCCCTTTTGGCAAAGTAACCAATCTTTTGATGCTAAGAGGAAAAGGTCAGGTATGTAATTTTCAGTGTTTTAATTGCAAAAGCAAGGCTGAAGATATGGGTCATGTTATGACAATTTTGATCTTGTGCTTGACCGAAATGATTGCAACATAATTTCATTGATGGCTGCAGATTTTCCTATTTTTAAATATGGAAGGATGTTATGAAATTTAAGTTTTTAAACATGCTTTTGGATTAAATAATGAACTAGAATTTTTTAAATAATAATGCTAAACATTACATCCAATTCATGTAAGAACATATAGATGACTAAAAACTACAGTCACTATTGATGATGACATATGCCTTCGAAGAGCCTGCCTGCTTAAGTTACTAACATGCATGCTAATTTTTTAACATCTTTTTAATCCTATTACATGTGACAGAGTAGTTTGCATYATGAAGAAACAAACAAATCCTAAAAATAATAAGCATTAATTAAAGAAATTGTCTAGAGCACTGAGCTGGATTAATACAATGCATAAACCAATGGATGTTTGATGTTCTGTTCCAACTTTTTCTATCGATATTCGTATCAGCTACGTAGRTAATAATGATTGCTTTCAGGAATTTGACAAATTATTAGCAGTATGGTATTTTTAGAAGCACTGCTTCCCATATGTCATACTTATTCTACCTCTTCTTAAATGATGTAGTGTACTCACAATGTAAAACTTTCTAAGAAAACCTGTGAATTGAATAAAACAGCCCTGTAAACAGGCACACAAAATGGGTTCTAATGCTGAGTAAATCAGTACTGTACTTTCAGATAATCTTTTTCTAGTGAGGGTGAATTGGGAAAAAAATAGTGCTTTGTTCTCTTGTAAACAAAACCAGTGCTGAAATCAGCTATGTATTGGTTGCAGGCATTTTTGGAAATGGCCTCTGTAGATGCTGCTGTTTCTATGGTGAACTACTATACTCCTGCTGCACCTCACCTCCACAATCAGCCAGTTTATATTCAGTATTCCAATTACAAAGAACTTAGGATTGACAGTCAACCTAATCAGACTGTAAGTATAATATTTCCATTTAACAGAATAAAATTGCAGGAGTTCTGTATTGGTTTTGGCTAGGACAGAGTTGATTTTCCTCATAGAAGCTGGTGACAGGAAGTATTAAGCCTTTTCTGCTTCTCACATTGCCCTGCCAGTGAGAGTACGCAAGAAGATAGGAAAGGACTCAGCTAGGACTGTTGATTGCAACTGACCCAGGGGATATCCTGAATCGCATGATGTTGGGCTCAGCACTGAAAGCTGGGGGAAGGATAAGGAAGGAGTGATGTTCAGAGTTGCCGCCTTTTTCTTTCCAAGTAATTATTATGCTCAATGAAGCCTTACTTTCTTGGAAACACTTAAACACCTCTGCCAATGGGAGGTAGTAAAGGAATTCCTTGTTTTGCCTTGCTTGCAYGTTCAGCTATTACTTTGCCTGTTAAACTGTCTGTAATTGACCTTATGAGTTTTCTCACTTCCACGCTTCCAATTCCCTCTCCCATCATGCTAGTGACTGAGCAATTGTGTGGCACTTYGGTGCACACCAAGGTTAAACCACAACACTAGTAAATGAATAGACTACACTTCAYTATACCAGTAGACAAATTCTGATATGTGTAATTTCAGTAACTTGTTATAGAGAGGGACACTTAAAAGCTGTAAAATTACTGTGGAGGAGCTAAAGTTCAAAAATAGTTTGTCATCATGAGCAGGAAATCAAGTGAAGGTGGCAGGAGKACTGCTTGTATGGACAAGGAACTCCTGACTGAGCTTGAATGTAAAAGAGAGGCAAGAAAAGTTAGAATCCCAGACAGGTGTCCCAGGAAAATTATACGGCATTATCTGAACACGCAGGGATRTGGTTAGAATAGGCAAAGGCCACATGGAATGTTCTCTGATGAGAGATGTGAAAAGCAGCAAGTATGGTTCCTTAAAGTGTATCACCAGCAGAAATAAKATTTTAATTTTTTTATTTTTTAATATTTAGGCATGCTGCTGTTTGGGGCAGGGACCCTGGTGACAAAGGAGATGGAAAAGGCTAAAGTTCTGAGAGCCTTCTCATCGTCAGCCTGTAGTTGTTAAGACTTGCCCTTAGTATTACCAAGCACCTGGGAACAGTGGGAAAGTCTTAATGAAGAAAGTAGAGAAGAATCACATTAGGAAGCATTTAAATTAATTTGATATACAAAAAGTCTGTGTCCCTAGTGAGATATACTTGGGAATGCTGAGGGAGCTGATGTCATTGCAATGCCACTCTACAATTTTGTAAAGGTCATGACAGTTAGAAGAAGTTCCTGAGGACTAGAAAAAACATCTATCCTCCTATCTTAAGGAAGGACAAGAAGGAAGATCAAAAGGAAGACCTGGGGAACCAGTGGCTGATTCCCCTTACTTTGGTCCTTGGGAAAGGAATGGAGCAACTCATTCTGGAAGCTCTCTCCAAACATTCTAAGGAGAAGGAAGTGGTTAGTCATWGTTAAGCATAGATTTAAGATTTGACCAATGTGATGGCTGCCTATGGTCAGAAGACCAGTTTAGTGGATGAGAGGAGAGGTTATTTTTTTATCTTTTGGCAAGACTTTCAGCATTGTTTCCAAAAACATCCCAGTAGATTATCTGATGAATGCATCTAGTTAAGTGAACTCTGAGGTGATTTGAAAAGCTAAAATGGTTGTCACCAGTGGCATAATGCTCGGATCCAGTCACTGGAAGTACACTAGGGGTTGATATTGGATTTTGGATTCCTGGATGAATTTCAGTTAAACTCCCATTTAKATACATAAATGATATACTTTATGTATCATAATTTTTTTTCTTTGTAAGACTGCTGATAATAGTGATTTGGGCATAAATCATTCATTTGTGCTGATACAAAAGTCACTCAAATCTTGCAAGCTGGTCAGTCTGGTAAATGTTATTTGGCTCTTTCCTCCTCTAAGATTGCTGGATTGGTTTGTTATCTGCAAAACCAAATAAATAACAAGATCTTTGTTTTATGGATGTGGTGTGCGTAACAGCCTCAGGAAAAGTATATGTATATTTGTAAATAAGACTCCTTAGGTCCAAGTATTTTCAACTTGGTGCATGGCACTTGCTTTTTTCTATAAAAACATTGTCTACTTTTAAAGATAAGCTGTTTGGCACTTTTATTTGAGTTTTGTCTAAATTTGAAGAGATCCTAATAGAGGAGCTGAGCACTGTTACTGTCCCTAGTACCTAGGCTGAAGTCTGAAGTACAGATTATTTTGCAGAGTTTTATTTTTCTGGAATTAGGTAACCTGTGCCCTGTTTAGTCTGTCTGCCAAAGAAATAGCTGAGACATGACTTCAGGTCACAATACTGCATTTGAATAGGAACATCTCTCCATAGAGCTTCTACTCACAGGAAGTATGAAGACCTTTTTGGGAAAGCCCATGAAAAAAAGTGTAGAGACTACTGTAGTCACAGAAATCCAGTTGAGGAGCGAGATTTAAACTTGTTTTTTGTGGTTGATGGCTTGGCTCTGAAAGAAGAGTAGGGTGCGCAGCTTTAAGCTTATCCCCACCAAATCTTAGTTCCTGAAGAGAGTGAAATCCTAATAAAGCAGGGCAAATAATTTTTAGTGTGTTGACTGGTTGTTAGTCTATTACAGTATTACAATATTGTCATCAACAATAKTGATAGAAAAATTTCTAGAATGGCAATAGCTTACTGAATCAAAGCAAAATCCTGTCTCTATGACATTACAAAGTAGTTTAACTGAAAAAATAGATGTAGTTCTGTGAGTTACACTGACTAGTTGTGAGGGAGGAGCATGGGAAGTTTGAATTATTATTCATTTGTGAATGTGATACTTGAATTAATAATATGAAAGAAATACGTTTTTTTCAAGTTATGTTTTATGTGCTTTTCTTTTAGGAGAACTTTGTTTCTGATATACATCTGAATACAAATGTTCATATTTGTATGAATGATTTGTGTGTAAATTAATTGTGCTCTCTGCTATGGCCTARTTTCAGAGATCCCAAGCTACATTGCAAGGTGTGAATGCTGTGCAGCATGGAAACCTTGGTTGTGCTCTTGCTGCTGAAGGTGGAGCCCTTCCAAGTCACAGTTCTGTTCTTCGAATCGTTGTTGAAAATGTYGTTTACCCTATCACTTTAGACATCCTGTATCAGGTAATGAGGATTGCTTAAAAAAAAAGTTACAATCTGTTCCAGTGTTGCTATTGTAAATCCTTTTTTTTTATTATTAAGTACTGTGGTTCCTGAATCTTTTGAATGAAGATTGTCTCTTYAAAATTATTTTCTGAATGTGGGGATCTGGGTTTGCAGTCGTTTTGCACAAATGAAATTTGAGTAAATGGCTCCTGTACTCAGATTTTCATGTTGTCTCTTTTAGTTTCTGTGAAAGCAGCAACAAACTCAAACTGTCACTTTTGCTCTCATGGTGAGCTAGTGAARTAATGAATGTTATGAACTTGTGAATCCGTATTTTAGTACTATTTCTTCTGAGTAGCCTTTGTAGTTTGCCTAATATTTAAGGCTTTGTATTCACCTTTATTACTCAGTGCAGGTGATTGTAATAGGCAAATTGCTTGGACAAATGTTTTTGATTATTTATCTTTAGAATGGCATTTGAATACTTCTGAAAGCTAGAATAACGGTAGGCTATAGTTATGAAAGACATTTCTGTAACTTGTTCTGGGTATTTGGGCTATGCTGTTAAAAGCTCTTAAGTTTGAAAGTAATAACTTTGAGACCACTTATTTGTGTCCAAAGTATTGTGTTGATACTTCACAACTATTGCAAATATTTTCATACTTGAAGCTTTTGGAATTAGTAGTAAATTTATGCAGTAAAAACCATACCCACATATGAGTTTCTTAAATAGCACAGTTTAAAATAAGTGGGATGGAAGATTTTTTTCCTGCTCTGCTGGGATCTTAAACCATAGTTGATTTTTAGCAGCACTCTATTTTTCCTCTTAAAATTTTCTCTGTATCTCTTCACTATGATACTGACTAACTAGYATGTTTATTAGTTGTCACTTGGATGCAGCAGTTTGCCTGATCTAAACCTTTGTATCTTTGAGTGTGATTCACTTATTACTGAACCTGTGCAAATACTATGTCAGCTGCTTAGGATTATTATTGCATTCAGAATAATCTCAGAACAAGCTCTTCTGGTTATGATTATAATAATGCGACAGCAAAGAGGAAATTTATATTAAGTTACTGTCATTTGATTTTAGTTTATCTCAGTGCAGCACAGCTGTATTTTCAGTATTTGAATTGTCCTYGCTGAACTACTTTTCCTAGAGCTACTTGTCTAGAAAATTCAGCAATATTTGAAAAGGGATCTTATTTAGAGTTCTTAATAGGGAACAATGTCCTCTAATTACAGCAGCACTTTGTGCCCAATAGCTACAATTTAACTTTTACTTTGTGTGGCAAGGTTAATGGAAGAGAGTATTTTCACTGACAAGTATAGCATGTTGAGGAATGCTAGTATGCAAGCTGTCATCCCAAACTTGGATTGTATTTTGTTAGCTGTCTTGCTTCTCAAGAAGTACATTTTTTTCAAACCACAACCCACCTTAAAATGTTTGTCATAAGAAGCTGGAAATTCAGTGTTATCTTTGCCGATACAAAGTTGATATAAACAGTATGTTTAGCTTTTAAATCAAACTGGAAGGAGTACAATTGCATTAAAAAGACCTGAAAAAGGTTTATTATGTTTTCTGGATAAACATGGAATAGTATATGTTGAGAAGCTGTATTTAGGCCTTTTTTAAGAGGAAGTGCTTTATGAACAGGAACTCTAAGACTAATTTTAAATCACTGTGAAAATGTTTCTGTTCTGTTTCCTATGACTCAGTGATGACTCCAGCATTAAAATCTTGTTTCTGAGAGAAGGAAAAACTGGGTACAAAGGGTTGGCACATTAGTTTTTTATCATTGATTATACGTCTAAGAGGCTGGCAAGAGATGCTTATCCTTACCTATGGCTTTTCTTTCCTATGCAGGTTTAGTATTTCTCAGGAGTTTCTGCTTTCCTGTCTTTGCATTGATTCAAAGAGTTTGTTTGAAAACTAATAGTATTTCTCAAATTCACCTTTCCTCTTTGAGTGTTAATTTGGAAATATTTTTTCTGAACTTGCATGATATGTCCTGGCTTTAATTTTGTCCTCACTTTTTGTGGGTTTGCTCTTGAATAGACACCTTCATGTAGCGCACACTCTTCTTTTGAATGTGTATGTATTTAAATTCAACCTTCAAAAGTATTTCTGCAGTTTAGATTTGTAATGAATCAAATACCATTTGATTATAAAGTATAGGGGTAGGTTCAAATCTAGGTGTTTGTCTTGCTTTTTTCKTCTTCATTTTTTAGTCAGTGGGTCTTAATAAACACATCAGCTATTTGAGGCATAGTTTTGCTCAACAAATTTGCAGAACTTGTCTAATGTGCCTAACATAAAAGTGGATACCTTGAAATGCAGTTTGCTGTTCCCATCTGTCATGGTTTGAATGAATTTAATGGGAGCAAAACACTCCCAAGTTCCAGCAAACCTCCCCCCCTCTCTTTTCACCACCCGGGTCCTAGAGACAAACTTTTCCACAGAGAGGAAAGTGAAAGGAAAAGGGGAAAAAACCTATTTATTTAAAATTATAAAAACAMMAAAAAAAAAAAAAAAACCTGTGGAATCAGCTGTTAGATCCCAAAGCCTTTCTCTTCCTTCCTGGGAGTAGCTTCCCCTCCGGGGCCCCCAGAGGGATGTTCAGAGTCTCTCCGGTGGTTCACTGAAGGATCTTTCTCGCCTGTCATGCCACGGGAAAATCCTCCAATTCTCAGATGATGAAGAAAAAAAAATTCGAGGAAAAACAAGTCCAAAGAAAGGGAGAAAAAAAAAAGAGCAGTCCCAGAGAGCAGGCAGCTTCTTTTCCACCGCTGATCCCAAGAGAGCRTCCCGAGAGAAAAAAAAAAGTGTGTGTCTTGTCCCTTTCCCTCCCATTGTCTTTGAAGGGAGGAACATCACCAAACAAACYAGAGCAGTCTCGACTAATGTATAGTTACAGAAGGGTTGTTTAACTTTCCTCTAACATAAGCAGATGATAGGAATACAAKACTCAGCTAACCTAGGACACCATCTCATCTGACTTCTGGTAACAAGGAATAATGTTGATAGAAACAGACAGATCCATCAGGSTAATGGATGGCTTTGTGATGTACTTGGATAAATTTTGTGGTTTTTAACCATGGGTTGATCTATTCAATACCTGATCGACTGACACCTGCTGTGATGCACCTTTCTAAGAGGGGAAGAAGTGTTCTAGCATGGGAGCTAGTGGTGCTTGTTGACAGTACTTTAAACTAGCTTGGAACAGGGAGGAGGTATGTGTGTAAGCTAGGGAACAAGAGGCTGGAGAGCAGCACTGTGAAAAGGGATCTGGTGGTCCTGGTCAATGCCAAATTGAATATGAGTCAGTGTTCAAGGTCTGGAGGGGAGCCTCCAGTATGAGGAGTGGCTCAGGTCAGTTGGTCTGTTCAGCYTGGAGAAAAGGAGAATGAGGGGAGACCTCATTGCAGTTACAACTTCCTCAGGATGGGAAGTGGGAGGGGCAGGTACAGATCACTTCCATCTTATAACCAGTGACAGGATCTGAGGAAATGGCATGAAGCTGAGTTGGGGAATGTTTAAGATTGGGAAAGGTTTTTTTTACCCAGAGCATGTTGTGAACTGGAACAGGCTCCCCAGGGAACTGATCACAGCACCAACCTGACAGAGTTCAAGAACTATTTAGACAATGCTCTCAGGTACAAAGTGTGACTTTGGGGTGTCCTTTGCAAGATTGGGAATGGGACTTGATCAATCATCCTTCTGGATCCCTTCCAACTCAGCATATTCTCAAACCTCCACTCTGTTTCATTATCTGCAATTTCTCTGCAGAGACTGAACAAAGGCCTGTTTGGACTATCCTTCCATGCCCTTTGTTGGTTGGACTTTGCTAAATCTTGAAAGAAAKATTTTTTTTTCTGTTTTTCCTATCTTTTATAGCTTCTTCTTTAAGTATTTTTTTTACCTGAAACTGAGTTCACACAATTGTTGTTCAGCTCTCACAACAGAAATATTTTTCAGGACTTTACTTGAAATATTAAATGCTGGTTTCTAGTGTTTGTTACTTAATACATTGCCTCTTAAAACCCATGTTTTTTCCCCTAACAGATTTTCTCTAAATTTGGCTTTGTCTTGAAGATAGTCATGTTCCATAAGAACAATCAATTCCAAGCTTTGCTCCAGTTTGCTGATCCAATGAATGCATATTATGCCAAAATGGTAAGTGTAGTGTGTATTCAGCTTGGTTTTTCTTTGGGGTGGGGGGTGTGGGGATCCCTGCTTAGGGTCAGGGAAACCATTAGGAAATCTTTTGACCATTCACTTCRTGATTTCATATCATTCTAACACTTCTGTTGCACATGAATAACTTTGACATGGCTCATTAGCTAGGAGGACAACACTCTATCATCAAATGCAAACAAATGTATAGCATGTATTTCAAGACCTGCATGAGTCTATCAGAACAAAAATCACTGATAAGATTCCCTCTCAGTCTTCTCAAGGCTGAACAAGCCCAGCTCCCTCAGCTTTTTCTTGCAAAAGAAATCTCTAATCCCTTAATCATCTTTGTAAGCCAACACTGGGGCTGCTGCAAAAGATGCAAAGGCTGTGTGTCTTTTGTGCTGAGGAGCCCAAAACTGGACACAGCAGTCCAGATGTAACCTCACCAGGGCTGAGTAGAGGGGCAGGATCACCTCCCTTGACTATGCTTTTTATAATACACCCCAGGATGCCATGGCCTTCTTGGCCACAGGGATAGATTGCTGGTTCATAGGCATCTTATCCAATTAGGATCCCCAGGTCCTTCTCTGTAGAGCTGCTTTCTGAGAGATCAGGCCCCATGCTCTGTATTTGAATGCTTTGTTGAATTTTAGTCAGTTTTTCTCTGCTTAACCTATGCAGCCTGTCAGGGTCCTTCTGAAGGGCTGCACAGCCCTTTGGGCTGTTGGTCACTCCTCCCAGCTTTATGACATCAGTGGACTTGCCTAGGCGGCATCTGCCCCTTCATATAAGTCACCTTTAGTTCCCATATAGAGGGAGCAGGAGATAATAAATAGTCAGGTGTGTAGAAAAACCCCAGCAACCTTTTCATGACATCTGTGATTCAAGTCCCAGTGAGGCAGACAAAGAGACCATTTTAGCCCAGTAGTCAGGTCAGCAGATGGGTGCCTCTGCTGCAACAGGGTGTCACCCACAATAATTATGCACCACTTCGGGTGATCCTATGCTCAGGGTCCGTCTTCTCTGTTGCTTCCCTTAAAGTCATGCCCAACTCTGTGGGCTTGGACTGAAAAGGAACTTTTAAGCTCATTGCATCCAATGATAAACCTAATGCTGCCAAGTTCACCTCTGAAAAACCATGTCCTGATGCACCACATCTGCACATATTTTAAATACCTGCAGGGGTGGTGACTCCACCACTTCCCTGTTCCAGCCTGTTCCAATGCCTGATAATCCTTTTCATGAAGAAATTTTTCCTATTACCCAGTGTAAACGCCCCTTGCAGAACTTGAGACCACTTCCTGTTGTCCTGTCGCTTGTTATGTGGGAGAAGAGACTGACCCCCAYTTTGCTACAGCTTCCTTTCAGGCATTTGTAGAGAGCAGTAAGATCTCCCCTGATCCTCCTTTTCTCCAGGACAGACAACCACAGCTCCCTCCAGGACTCCTAACAGGACTTGTGCTTCAGATCCTTCATCAGAGTCCTTTGTGTAAGGGTCAGTTCACGCAGCTAAAATTTCCAAATTAGATTTCCTGTTAGCATCTGATAATGTGTGTTGAGTGGGAGAGAAATAAGAAGAAACATAGGAAGTCAAGTCATGCTTAAAGCTATGTTTTGTCCAATTGGCACAAGCTGATATAATACTAACTAGTGGACTACACTAGAATTCTACACAGAATGTTTAGGTAAGGGTAGTGGGAGCATAATTGTCTACTTGGTGTTTAAAAAGAGGACTTTAAAACTGGAAGGTGAATTACTGTTTGGATACAATTGTAAGGTGAAAACGGTATAATGATGGAATGGTTTGGATTGYAAGGAAYCTTTAAAGATCATCTAGTCCAATCCCCTGGAGTGAGCAGGGATATCTTCAACTAGATGTGATTACTTGGAGCCCTGTCCAATGGGCATTGACCACCTCTCAGGGCATCCTGTGCCAGTGTTTCATGATGCTTATTGGAAAAAACTTCTATATAGCTAATCCAAATTGACCTGTTTCAGTTTAAAACTATCACCCCTTGTCCTATCCCAACCTGTCCTACTAAAAGATCTGTCCTCATCTTTCCTGTAGGCCACCTTCAAGTGCTGAAAGGCTGCAATAATAATACAAGCTTATAGCAGTGGCTGCCGCGATGTGTTTTGTCTCTGAAAATGTAATTATTTTTCTTTAGACTCTAGATGGCCATAGTGTCTACACTGGGTGCTGCACTCTGCGTATTGATTTCTCCAAGTTAACTAACTTAACAGTAAAGTACAACAATGACAAAAGCAGAGATTTCACTCGCATTGACTTTCCTGTTATTGATGGCCAGCGAACCCTGGAGACACCCTTTGGTAAGAAACCTTCACTTYTTGTGGTAAATACATATTGAGAGCATATTTTTTATGGTGCATTTATGCTCTGGTTTCGTATCTGGCTCATAGAAGTGTACATTTTGCATACATTTCTGTTTGTTAGACCCAGTAAAATTTGTTTGGAAAGCATGAATCCAAGTCGTAGTAAATGAGTATCTGAAAAACATGAAGATTAYTCATGGACAAATTCTAACTGTTGTAAAAAAGCTGCAAAATGCTACTAGAATGCTGTGAAATGGTATCATTGGTACAGGTAATGTAATAAATATTGCATAACAGAATGGAAGTCATCACAGATTGATGCTACTTGCCTAAAGCTGCTTAAAAGTAAATGTTTTTACTTGTTAATATTTTAGGATACCTGCCTGCTGCAAGAAACAAACTATAAGAAAATTCAGAATTCTGTGCTATTTATATATGTCTATGGTCATCTCCTAAAAGATAAAACTTAAGAAATTTTATTAAATTTTAGAGCACAATTTGGTGGCATAAAGGAGACAATGTCTGATTGAAGTGACACTGGAGAAGTGCTCGCAATGCAATTCAAGTCTTTTTAGCTATTTTTCTCTCTATTGACAACCATTAGAAATAATASAAAGCTAAGAACTGTCTTAGCTGTTGAATAGGTATCTAAGTGCTGTCCAGTTGGTTAGCACAGTAAAAAATAATAGAGAATAATCCCCTATTCTCCTTTACTTTGCTACGATAGGTAGGGCAAATACTGGGTTTGGTTTGATTTTTTTTCAGATAGGTGAGTTAGTTATTTTAGATTAGACTAAGAAAGTGAGTTGCACTCACTATTTTCTTGATTTTTTTGTCTTTACTGCTTCCCTTRAAGGCAGGTCTTGGATATTTATGTTATAGACAACTGCCATTATAGTTGGGGGCAGAGAAGGAGAGTGGAATTCACCATACAGCATTATAGAAATGTGCTACTACAGCTCTAATATATTCTAATTAATTGGACTCRCACTATTTGAAATGTCAATGGAAGGAGAAAGTACAGTTAGAGTTGTTTGTTTCTGCCCTTGCTTGTAGGACAGAATTAAGTATGCTTTTGGAGAATAAAATATGACTGCTTCTCCATATCTTCCCCCTCACTCTTCCAGGTTTCTTATTGCTAGGAGCCTTTTTTTCTTCTTTTGTAACAGTAAGAAGTGCTGGAATAGCCTGATGTCTGTACCAAAATTTGCCTGTGGTACATTCACAGTGCAGCAGCTGCACAGATATTTAAAAAAAAAAAAAAGAAATAAAAAGCTGTAGACGGGGAAAAGTGTGCTTCCCAGCTAGCCTTTCTGTCAGTTTTGACAACATGCACATATTGGCATATTCTGAGAGGCTTAGTTATCGAACATAAGGAAAAGATGTTCTAAGTCATGTTATTACTTCCACTACCTGTTGTTACTAGTGGATGTAGTTTTGATATAGAATTATAAGTTAAAGCTGCTAACAATCAGAATAATACATCTGGTTTTTTTTCTGTAGATGTGAAGTTATCTTAATAAGAAAACTGCACTGCTCTTGAAATACGTTTTTCCACTTTTTTTTTTTTTCTTTTGACTTTTTTGTGGAAAAGGTACCACACTACAAATAAGCAAATTTTGTGAATATATTGCTTTTAAAGGGTTCTTGCAGCCAATGACCATAAGCAGAAATACATGAATTAGCTTGCTTAGAAAGCTCTACTGATAAACATGAAGCAAATTAATTTTTAGAAAAAGCAACAAAGAATTCCAGATCTTTCTGTAYTAACTCAACTTTACAATTTTACATGCCTGATTTTGGTATCAGGGTGCAACATGCAGGTCTTATTTGGCAGAATAAAAGCTCTTGATCTATTTCCTCATTCATGTTTTCATTGCCATTCTTAGACTGTGAATAAGTGATTAATAACTCTATTGCCAGAACTTGTCAGTATAATGCACCAATGTGTGTATTTCAAGAACTTATTTACTTGCTTTGGTGTGATAAATGTATTCAGTTTTTTGTATGAAAGACACATTGTTGCCACAGATAAGAGGAGGTGTAATGTGATGCAGTAGTCATGAATACTTGATCTGTGGTGTCTGTTCAATTTGTTTTTGTAATTCATAATAGATACTTCTTTTGGTATTGTATCATTCCTATCAATAACTATTTGCTAGTGGTTCTATTTCAGTCAGTGTGGATGTTTGAGYAGTAAAACAGGCATATTACCAAGCTTGTAGAATGTGTTTTCTGATTATACATGCCCCATTAAAAAAAAAAAAAAATCTGATGTGTGCTTACATATGAAAGAATCCACAGCTCAAGGTTGTATCTAACTGTCTCTTAGAACACAACTTTGTGTGCTACCCTGGGTAGCACTTAATTCCACATACTAATGTGGAAATCACTGAGCTCTCTTTGGCACTGGGGCTCCTCTTAYGTTGTTATTCTGGTTAATGCTTGTGATTTCAAGGAAGGCCATAAAAAACCCTGGTTATGTATGAAGTTCTGCAAACTGGGAAAGTACGTCTTGTATATACATATGGAGAAYATGAATACTTTATGTATTTCAACAGCTAGTAAAATTTAGAATCTCAGATTAGTTATAGATGTTTGTATTGTTTAGCTTATACTGATTTTAGAAATATTCAGGAGTTGTATCTCATCCTTGCAAAACATTTTGACTGTATTTACTTGCAGAAAATTTCTAGAATWCATGTCCATCATGTGAATAAAAACATTGAACAATGCAGGCATATTAACTTTAATGGAGAATAATCTATGCCGTGCCTTTCCTATTCAAACTTCTCGAATTTATATTTTGCCTTGACTTTATTTTGGAGMGGATTGTTAAGACTGACCAGACTATTTGCCTTCAAAAGTGGCTGAGAATTGTCTTTGTAAAACACAGAATCTTGGATTTCAATGAGASTTTTAACCCAAGCATATTATAAACATCTTGAATCACAGATAAAGTCAAAATAGCAACACTGGCACCTGATTCTGATTGCTGAAATATCTTCTTAAGAAGAAAGTTTTCCAAAACTTTAAAAACATATTTTAATTAGGTGTATCTGCTCTCTCTAGGCCCCCAAAACACCATCTTTCCATCATATGCAGGRCCTCCTGGGTTTGCCCCAGCCTTGGGTTTTCCTCAAGGCGCAGGTAAGTTTGTTTTCTAAAACTGTGGTGTCTCTAGTTATGGCTTGTGGCCCATCTGAATACACCCATTCAGAGCTGTGTTTTTTTTAAGTATAGCAATCAGAGCATAGTATTAATTTGAGTCATTCTAATTCTCTTACGCATATATATGCAAAAAAATAAGTTTTGTAATAAAAACCATATACTGATGTATTTTATVATTAAATAAGCAAAGAACTTAAATGCCATGTTTACCTACAAGAGAAGAAATTAAGCATTTGTTTTTCTAAGAATGATAAAACTGCTATGACATTCAAACCAAATAAAGGGAAGTTTCCCTTTTCTGGTTATGAAGTGAGAAATAGAAAGTTTTTTAGACAGTGATCTTTTCTAGCACAGGGTAAACATTTGTGCTGAATTATTTCTCTTCTTTCTTGGGCAAATTTAATCCCCTTTTTGGGTCTTTCTATGCAGCTGAGTGTTTATTTTTCTCTGAAAGGGAGGTGCTTCCTGCTTYATTGATTATATACTAATAATAAGTAAATTCCCCAAAAGCATTTTAAAATTGAATATTGATGTTTTTTGCCAAATACCATCTGCTTTTGTACTCTTCCATTTTCACTTTGAGTTGTCAAGTGATGCTATTTATACCCTTCCAGGTCCTTCAGTTCCGCCTGTTCCTGGAGCACTTGGTTCTGTCACAGTCACCMCATCAGCAGCACCTGGACCCATGACTCTTCCTGGTATTCCAGGAAATTCTGTTTTACTAGTCAGCAACCTCAACCCTGAAGTAAGTTTGATTGGTGGAACTGATGCAAGTGTCACCTTGTACCAACTGTCAGAATTCTTGCAAATTGACATTAGCTGAACAAGCAAGAGAAATTCTCTATGCTGATAATATAAAAAAAACAGGACAGTTCTATACGTTATTGGGTAGTTGGCAGTATTGATGAGGTTTATAAACCCCATTCATCCGTGAAAAGCTACCTAATACAACTGATTTTAGGAACCCTGTGTTAGCAGTGTAGTTAGTAATTAGAGAGATCTCTATGATAATCAACAGCAAGAAATGTTTGAAGATGTAAACAACATACATATGATGATATATTGATATCTCTGTTAATGATTCCTCTGTTTGCTGCTTCATCTGTAAGGAAGGCAAAGAATTTTTGTTATAAACAAAGAAAGTAGATGGATAATAGGGAATAGAAAAGGAAAAAAAGGGATGCCAAATCAAGTACACATGTACACTTCTCATAATACTACACAGATGCTTTTTCATATGTTGGCAGTAAAATTACCAAGGACAACTTGGAGTTATTTTTGTAAATAAAAATTTCATAGGCTGGTCTATCATCTTACTCATGTTACTCAAACACTSATCAATGCTTACTTAAAAGCAATGTACGACTTTTAAAAAGATTAAATTGAGCTTTACCAAAGCCATGGCTTGAAAAACTACCATAACTATTGATGACCAGTCYTATTGCAGCAATGTAAATTCTTGTTATACACACTCAATACATTTACTTAACTGTAAAATTGTTAAAATTAGGACTTGTTGCCAAAATGGAAGTTAGCTGCATAATCTGAAGTTTAAAAATCTGTTGACCAGTTTCTTTAACCTTTAAGTAATTGTTGGRTATCTGTTTTTGTATTAACCGCCAAATTCATACTAAGCATCAGAAGAAACAGCTGTAGATATGGCTGTAAGACAAGTCGCTTTTTCTTTGATTTGTCAATATATCAGGGAGTTTCTGATGATGGCTGTGGATTTGCTTTCTGCAGCTGACTATTTAGGATGATTTTCTGAATCTGAAAAGTGTGCTGCTTAAGAATTCACATATGTGAAGCATAGGTCAGGCTCTTTTTAGGACAATGATGCTTTACATGGTAATAATCATAGCTAAGAATTAATGTAGAACATAGTGCTGCAATGGATGAGACAATGTCAGTGTGTTAAGTAATGTTCAACTTCTTAAAAATATARAAATAAGGATATACAACAGCATTAATTGTTGGAAATATATTTCTTGGCAGCTCTGTAGCACTTCTCCTTTGGTACTCGTTGTCTGACCCCTGTCACTTCTCTTTCTATGTATAGAAAATGTGGTTGACCTTATTTCAGTTCATATTTCTCTCCTGTTACAGGGTATCAGTGTGCRTTTAAATATTCCTTCATGACTTAAATTATCTTTCAATTCCCCCTCTTTTGTTTTGTAAGCAGAAATATTGCAGTCTCATTTGAATAAGGAATTACTTTTTAAAACGGAAACATCCATCCTGAATTAAAATATTTGGGCTGGAAGAATAAACCCTTGATGAATTTAAATTTTGTATTGATAGTAATTGTTCTCTGCTACTAAATGCTGATGATGAAGGGATATGGGCTTACACGTAGGCTGCAATATGTTCTATTTTTGAATAATATAGGTAAGTTTGGTACATATTTGAGAAGTTGAGTTGAGAAGGAATAGGGCTAGAGAGTGTGAATAGTGCTTCTGATATGTGCGTATTTTTAGTACACATTAGTGGCAAAACATTTGAATAAATTTTGGCTGAATTAGGGTGTAAATTATCTTCTTTGGTGATTAGAACACAAGAATTTAATTATTTTTCAATATTTAGCTTTCTGTTCACAGTTTCTGATTGAATGCAATTTAAATACCATTTTCTATGTTCCATTTTCAATTTAAATACCATTTTCTTCATATATAAACAGTTAAATTCTGTGTGTCTCCCATTAGAATGTCATGGCCATGTAGATGGATGGGAAAAAACTGAAAACAAAGCAAACACATTTTGAAGCAACTGGGTTTTGGTTTTGTTGGTATTGTCTGTTATTTACAACATACGAAGGAGTTCTTTAATGCTTTATTTTTATTTTAGCAAATGTCTTTCATTTTTTTTCAGGGAATGAGCTACTATCTTGGAAAGAATAAGGTCAAATAATGAAGCTACTTAAAATATTAATAGCTTCTGCAGCATGACAGTGATGAAAATGTATGAACTGAARTGTTAGCTTGTTTGCATATATTATATGTGCAGAGCAAATGTGTATTAACAAGAGTGCTGTACACTATAGTTAGTGCAGGGAATGGCTTTTGGAGAGACAGGTTTATGTATTAGTATGCAGTATCTCTTCCATTCTTTTTGTTTACCATGCACTTACGGAATAGATGTCTTTATTTGCATGGCTTTAGAAATAATATACTCATTTTATCATTTAAACAGGCCATCACACCTTATGGACTTTTCATCCTATTTGGTAAGATATGTCAATATATCTTGAGAAACCACAGGGCTAGTGGTTCTTTTTATTTATCTGACCCATGCTGGTTAATTCAGATTCCATTGTTCTGAATGGACAGATTCCATGTCTGCCCACTGAGAGAATGTGCCGGTTTTAAAATGGCAATAATTTTAGTTATAAGCCACAGGTACCAAATAGGCGRAACAGTTAGTGTCAGAAGAATTTCAATGTGTGGTCCAATTAATTTACTACAAAAAAATAGGAAAGCAGAGTAAGATGAAGAAGCAGAGATTGTCTCCTGTAAATGACATGCAATTCTGTAAAGCATTTCCTCTGATGCAATGTTTGGCATAGTAGTATTTTAATATGCCTTTGTTAAGAGGATTTTGACAACTGTTGCACTATTTAAAAACTGAACAGTTGTATGACTAGGATCCTGGGGACTTTCCTCCAGTTTTGAGCCTCAGAAAATAATTCACCAACTTTAAAACTCTCTTGTAGTAATATTTTAACCAACATGGTTAATGATGTGATTATTCTGTGTAACTAATGTTAGTCAAAAGGCACAGACTTGGCCTTGTGCTTTTCATAGTAATGCTCTGAAAAAATTCCCTTTCTCAATTTCCATAGGTGTATATGGTGATGTGCATCGTGTGAAGATCATGTTTAAGAAAAGAGGAATTGCTTTGGTTCAGATGGCAGATGCAGCCCAGGCTCAATTAGGTATGGATTTTTAAGGCACAGTTATGCTTCAAACTAGCATGCGTTTAAAATAAAGGAGGAATTTGCCACCTGTCAGTGACAAGCATAAACAAATGAAATTTGTCATTGTGCTGCATTACTAAATATGAACTTTGATTATACTCTTAGTGGTTTTAAAAAGAGAAGTCCTATAATTCTCAGTCTACTAAATGTTAGTGTTAAATCATACAATTTTCCCATCATTTATTTTAATGAGATGTTGTATTATTTTCCAGTAATTTATCTTTTATTTCACTATTTAAGAATAATCAGCTGTTCTTTATTGAAATGCTGTTTTATTTTTTTTGGCATTTGAACTGGAGATTATTTTACATCCTTATCCTTATTTTAAATGTAATGTTGTGACATAGCCCACCTAGTAGATGTGGAAGTTGCAGTTTAAATTTAGAATGTGAAATCTGACACCAAGTAAAAACAGTATTAGTATTTGAAGAATCATCTTTTCTTCCCCTCCATTAATTCCTTTCAAATTACATTTCTACTGGTTAGCTATCAATTACTTGAATGGACAGAGGCTTTATGGAAGGGTCATGCATGCTACTCTTTCAAAATATCAGACAATTCAACTTCCTCGTGAAGGACAAGAAGACAAAGGTCTGACAAAGGACTACAGCAATAGCCCTTTACATCGCTTTAAGAATCCTTGCTCTAAGAATTTCCACAATATCTTTCCTCCATCTGCCACCCTTCATCTCTCCAACATCCCGTGAGTATCTACGTGTGTGATCTTCATAGTTGGTTTGTAGGTTATGTTGTCAAGTTGCAAAGTCTGACATAAGCTTTAGTTTACTTTCCTTGGCTTTTTACAATTCATTCTGCTGTGGGTCATTCTGGTGTGTAGTTAACAATAAGTGAATCCTTTAATTGTCCCTTTTTTATCATTAGCTAAGAGGATAACTGAATGATCTTCTTTGAGGTTTTAGTTTGTTTCCTTTTTCTTGAGACTATGCTTTTGGTTTTTTAATATTAAATTATGTGTCACAGATTTTAATACAAGGTTAAATATGTGTTTTTTGAGATAATGTAAATGACAACAAATTCATCCTTGACATTGTTATTTAGTATAGATACACTTTTGAATAATTCTAACACTTAAAAAATAACGGTTTCTACAGAATTCAGACCTCTTATGTGGAGGGCAAGTTGTAAGGGAAAAAAATGTGTTCTTTAGACTGAAATAATCTTTTTTATGTCTAGAATGTTGTCAACAGTGTGTGGAGTAACAGCCAAACAGAAGTTTTTACAGGCTTCTCCTGTTTGGCAGCTGTGCAGGGAGGGGAAAAAAAGGAAACTGGAATTTTGTCCAAGTAAGAAAAGAAATKATAAGACACTTTGAAAATGGCTTTTTGAGTAAAATGAAAATCCTTCAAAAATGAAAATACGTGAACATATTTACACAAATTGCAAAATGAAGTGTATTCCTTCTGCAGATTTTAAATTCAGATTTTTCTGCAATCTGAATTTAATTGAGGARGAAACAGCGTTGGAGAAAAAACAATAGAATCTAAAATATTTTTGTTGTACGATATGGTACTAACATATACAGTAAAAGGCAAGTGTTTTGGGCTGAAGTGTTGACAGGGTATGAGTTGGTGAAGAGTAACTTGAACAGCAGAAATTAATTTAGATGCCAAAATTGAGATCTTGATGTTATTACAGAACTCTGTGCTCTTCCACAGGTTGAGGGGGGTTTGTTGTTTGTTTGKTTTTTTTTCCAATTAGGCCTTCTGTTACTCTTGATGATTTGAAGAACCTTTTTACAAGTAAAGGATCTACTGTGAAAGGCTTCAAATTTTTCCAGTAAGTTCTCTTGTAAAATTCCTAAGCAAGCTTTCATGCTGGAAGATAGCTATTTGCTTTTTTGTGATTTTCTATGTGTATATATATAACTATATACAGCATTCCATGAAAATGTAGCTATAGGCAAAAGCAGTACAGGTATCATGATTTTAAGATACATTTAATCTTAAAATTTTATATGGAATACTGTGTTAGCATAACTAAACTAAAAATATGCAGTCTTTTAGCAATTTCCATGTGTTCAAAATAAAATAAGTTTAAGGAAAGTGAATGCTTGCTACATGAAAAAACACAAGCTGTGTTTATGTAAAATGCCATATTAAAAATGACAGTGATGACAATGTATTTACATTGATTAATTTGGCAGCATTATTTTAGTATACTCATACCTGCTAGAAWAATCCCATCTGTTTGGGCAACACAAGTATTTCTTAGAAGTCTTCTAGCCTTGTTTTGTCCTAGCTTTTTGAGGTCCAGTGTAATGAAAGAATGACATGGTTTTAAGCCATAGATTTACAAAATTTATGTAGTTTTTTTTACCTTTACATTTTAGCAGGTGCATTAATAGTTCTGATTCTTTTGCTGTATGAGTGTCCAGTGTGTGTGATATGGCTGAAGAAAAACTGCTTATGTCACTTTTCTGTGATGGCTAATGAAAAATTGGTTAGGATTAATTATGGTTTTTATTGTACTGCAGGAAAGATTGTAAAATGGCTCTTATCCAGCTGGGCTCTGTGGAAGAAGCAGTTCACGCTCTCATTGAGCTTCACAATCATGACTTTGGAGAAAACCAACATCTCCGMGTTTCTTTCTCAAAATCTACAATCTGAATTTTCCGTGAACTTTCCCTTTAAGGCTGCATAATGGTTTTAGTGAAATCTTCAACTAGAGACTGAGACAGCTGTGATCAACTCTGTCTCTTAAAAGAAAAACCTCATTCATACACGAAGAATTAAGTGATGATTTTTTTCTCATTCTGGCTGCAAGTATGTCATCCTATTCTTCTGTGAAATAGCTTTAGCAACAATATTTATCATCAAATTTACTACTTAAAATTATATTTTGAGAACATCCTTTTAGCTTTTATTTGAAACCAGCCTTACAAAACAATTTAGAGTCCTTTTACAATATACCAAACGAGAATGTTTAATAAAATGGTAAATCTACTCTGTGCAGATTAAACACTAATTTGAATGTGAAATAGCTTGGGTTTCTTGAAGAAAAGCAAACAGTAACTGTGAGTATCTTCTGAATAGTATTTATGTTACCAGGGTGTGTGTTCATACTTTGGCAAATCTTTACAAATAACTCATTCATAAAAATTAAAAGTCTGTGCTATTATAGATTAAATTATTAGAGAAGAGGCAGTGCCTTCTCTCTGGGGAGTAAAAGGTATTGAAAAGTTTCTTCAAGATGTGGTATTGGAGAATTAGGTTACTGTGACCATGGGTTGGAAGTTTGATGTCTTATTTCTACTATGAAGTGATGTGTAGTAGTACCTTGGAGAAAATAAGACAAGAAAATGGTCCTGATTTAAAATAATTTTTTACGTTTCTCTAAATAATTAAATRTTTGCAATCTTACGGAAAATATTCAGGTCTATGATGGCTTTTCAAGTTTTTAAGAAGTTATTTTTGTTAGGGTCATCTTTCAGGGCAGAAAAATTAAACCTTGAGGTTTTTTACCACTCTGAAGTCTAATACTTAAATTACTGTGTATTTACCTGATTTCTTATTATGTGCCTTACTATATGTGTATGATACAATAGATTAGTGTGTTATCTGATGTATCTTGTGAAAATATTGTGGACTTTGTGAAAATTCTCCTCTTGGTCTTTTTGAAAATGTTTTCCATTTTCACTTCAAGATGTATTTTTTCATTGACTAATACTCTGAATTCCAGTTTCTTGTACTTTTGGAGATTGGATATAGGTTGGAATGAGATTTCATTCATTGTGTAATCACACAGGGATTCTTTACCTAGTTGCACTTCTCTGATGGTAGTACTTCACTGATAAAAAAATTCACACCCAGGAAAAAGACAGTAAAAAACCCAGACAACCTAAACAAACCTATACAGAAAGGCCAAACAGCGACTCCAGTTCACTTTCTGGACTTCATCTAACTTTTTGAGASACACTGGCTGTATCAGAATATTCTCTTTTGGCTGTCTGCATATCTTTATCAGTATTAAACTTCAAGTGATAGAATGCTATCATTCTTTCCTTTGTAAATTTGAAAAAATGTTGGATCCTAAATCTTGATTTCTCTTTGGGGAATGAGCTGAGATGCAGTTAGGTTTGGTCATGAGTGTACAGATGAATACTACTGACTATTACTAAATTTAAAAAAGCTAAATTTCATTTTAAGAGCTTTCTCTTTCTAGCATTTTTTTACAGAAATTAATTGAAAATTAAATTTTACTTTACCAAATTTTAGAGACCTATTTCTTTCAAACRTGGCATTTAATTACCCCTAACTATTGTAGAATTTGTTTCTGCTATAACATTTTGYCACTCAAAATTTCTTTCTTCTAAAAAGAGAGTCTTACTATTCTGATGAATGAAAGAGTGTGTTTCTACCATGTTCTGAGTATTATGTAGGGAGCTTTTTCAAATTTTCCCTCTGAATTATTTTTGCAAAATCAGCCCAATACTAGCTTGCCAGATACTAGTTTAATGTAGGTAAGTTGATTACAATGTAGTTTTAAGGAAACTTCC